GATGGAATCTCCTTACTTATTATAGGTCTGTTAAATTTTCTATGTATTCCTGACTCAGTTTTGATAATTTGTGTGCCTCTAGAATTTTTTTGATTTTATCTAGATTATCTAATCTGTTGGCATACACTTTTTCGTAGTATTCTCTTATAATCATTTTTATTTCTGTAAGGTCCGTACAAATGTTTCCATATTCATTTCTAATTTTATTTGCATCTTCTCTAATTTTTTTTCTTAGTCTACCTAACAGTTTCCCAATTTTGTTTATCTTTTCTAAGATCCAATTTTTGGTTTTGTTGGTCGTATTGTCTTCCTTCCTTCCCTTTCCTTTCCTTTCTCTTCCTTCCCTTTTCTTTTTCCTTTCCTTTTCTTTCCTTCCTCTCTCCCTCTTTCTTTTTCTTTTTCTTTCTCTTTCTTTCTCTCTCTCTCTCTCTTTCTTTCCGTCTCTCTCTCTCTTTCCTTTCTTTTCTTTTGTTTTGAGATGGAGGGTTGCTCTGTCGCCAGGCTGGAGTGCAGTGGCGTGACCTCAGCTCACTGCAACCTCCACCTCCTGGGTTCAAGTGATTCTCCAGCCTCAGCCTCCCAAGTAGCTGGGATTATAGGCACCTGCCACCATGCTCAGCTAATATTTATATTTTTAGTAAAGATGGGGTTTTATCGTGCTGTTCAGGCTTGTCTTGAACTCCTGACCTCAGGTGATCTCTCCACCTCAGCCTCCCAAAGTATTGGGATTACAAGTGTGAGCCACCACGCCCAACTTGTTTTCTTATTCCATACTTAATTATCTCCACTCTACACTTAATTATCTCCTTCCCCTACCTTTGGATATATTAACTATTCTTGTTCTTCGAGGCACAAAATTAGGAATATTGATTAGAATTATTTCTACTAATTAAAATACAGGCATTTATTGCTATAAATCTCCCCTAGCACGCTGTGTTTGTACAGTTCCATAAAGTTTTGGTATTTAGTATTTTTATTTTCATTTGTCTCATAGTATTTTATAATTTCCCTGTGGTTTCTTCTTTAATCCATTGGTCATTTGTCTTTTTTACTTTCCATGTATTTGTGAATTTTCCAGTTTTTTTTGGAAATCTGTTCTTGATTTCTAGCTTCATTCCATTGTGATTATGAAAATACTTTTTATGGTTTTAGTCTTTTAAAATTTATTGAGACTTGTATTGTGGTCTGACATGTGGTCAGTCTTAGAGGATGTTTCCTGTGCTCTTGAAATTAATGTGTATTCTGATGGTGTTGAGTGGAACTGTTCTAGCTATGCCAACTAGGTCTCTCTGGTTTACACTGTTGATTAATAAGGATCCTTTATATCCATATTCATCATATGTCTAGATATTCTATCCATTATTGAATATAGAGTATTAAAGCCTCCAGTTGTTACTGCAGAGCTATCTATTTCTCCTTTCAATTCTGGCAGTGTTTATGTATTTGGGGGCTCTGTTGTTTGATTTGTGTGTGTTTATAATTGTTAAATTTCTTGATTAACTTAGTTTGAATTGATACCAACTTAGCATCAACAACATACAAAAATTCTGCTTCTGCGGAGTTCTATTTCTTCCCTTTATGTTGTTATTTTCCGAAATTACATATTTATACATTATTTGCCCATTAATATGGATTTATAATCATTGTTTTATGCATATGCCTTTTAAATCATATAGTAAGTGAAAATGAGTTATAAAAAAATATTAGTAATGGCTTTTATATTTACCTGTGTAATTATCTTAACCAGAATTTTTTATTTCTTTGTATAGCTTCAAATTGTCTAGATTACTATTTAGTGTCTTTTTATTTTAGCCTTAAGGACTCCCATTAACATTTTTTGTAGGGCATGTCTGCGAGTAACGAACTCCCTCAATTTTGTTTTTTTCTAAATATCTTAATTTCTCCCTAATACTTGAATTACAGTTTTGTTGGATACAGCTTTTTTGGATGACAATTTTTTTTTTTGTTTCAGTAAAAAGCGTTATCCTGCTCCATACTGGACTTTAAAGGGATAATCCTGCTCCTTACTGGATTCCATGGTTTCTGATGGGAAATGAGCTGTTATTCTTATTGGGAATTCCTTGTATGTGATGACTCACTTCTCTATGCTCCTTTCAGGATTTTCTCTTTGTGTTTGTCCTTTGAAAATTTGACTACAGTGTGTGTTAGTGTGGATCTCTTTGCCTTTATCTTTCTTAAACTTTGTTGAGCTTCTTGAATGTATGGATTTGTGTCTTTTTTATTAAATTGGAGACGTTTTTGGCCATTATTTTTTCACATATTCATTCTGTGCCTTTCTCTCCTGTCCTTCTGGAATTACTGTTACACATACATTGGTATGCTTGATGTATCTATCCTTAGGCTCTGTTCACACTTTTCTTCTTTTTTTCTTCTCTGTAGACTAAGTGATTTCAGTTGACATATCTTTATGTGAGATGATTGTTTTGCCTGCTCAGGTTTGCTATTTAAACCCTCTAGTGAGTTTTTCATTGCAGTTACTGTACTTTTTATAGTACAGAACTCTAGAATTTGTTCGGTTCTTTTAAAAAAGAACTCTCTGTTAATATTCTCTTTTTTTGTTTTCTTGTATTGTTCTCCTGGTTTCTTTTAGTTATTTGTCCATAATTTTCTTTAGCAGAATATATTTAGGACAGTTGATTTCAAGTCTTGGTCTAGTAAGTCTAATATCTTTGCCTCCTCTGGGACATTTTCTGTTAATTTCTTCTGTGAAATCACAAAGCTTCCTTGTTTCATTTTATGCTCCATATATTTTGAAAACTGGACATTTTTGAATGTCTGTTAAAATTCAGTTTTATTCCAACAATTAAACAAAATATTGTGGTAAAATATATAACATAAAATTTATATTTTTTAAATGTACAATTTTATGACATTAACCATTAATGTGATAGTTTGTGAGATTAAGCATTAATTAAGCAATTGTCACCATCATCCAGCTCCTGAACTTTGAAAACTGAATATTTTGGATATTATAACAGAGTAACTTGGAGTATTAGATGTTTTCTTTTCTTCATTGTTTGTTTTTGTTTCTTGCTGTGGGCTATGCTCAGTGATTTGTCAAAATTGTATTTGTAATGCTTGTCTGGATTCTTTGTTTCTGAAAGCTCTATTCTTTTAGCCAGTGATTAGCTAGTGTCTGATGGAGATTTCCTTGAACACCAGAAGTCAAAAAAAGGAAAACAAAAAATACTCTGTGTTTTCTCCATAATATGATTATTACACATTGCATGCCTATATAAAAATATCTCATGTGCCTCATAAATATATACACCTACTATGTACTCAGAAAATCAAAAATTTTAAGAAATACTCTGTCACCACTTCTGCTCTACTTTTTTTTTCAGTCTCTACCAATTCTGCTATTTCCGAATATGGATCTTCTTTTTTAAAAAATTGTTTTGATAAGTACATAACATAAAATTTACCCTCTTAACCATTTTTAAGTGTACAGTTGAGTAGTGTTAATGTGAATGTATATTTATATTATTATGAAACAGAGGTCTAGAACTTTTTCATCTTAGAAAACTGAGACTCTATAGCCATTAAACTATAACTTTGTTTTCCCTCATCCCTCTCCCTAGCCCCTGATAACCACCATTCTGTTTTCTTTTTCTATGAATTTGACTACTTTAAGTACTTCACATAAATGGAATCATACTTTTTTTTTTAAGTAAGTGACTAATTTAGTGTAATGGCCTTAAGTTTCATCCATGCTATAGCATGTAACATGATTTTCTTTCTTTATAAGACTGAATAATATTCCATGTTTTGTATATACTGAATTTTGTTTATTCATTCTTTCATCAGTGGAATTCTGGATTGCTTTTACCACTTGGCTATTGTGAATAATGCTGCTGTGAACATGGGTTTGCAAATATCTCTTCAAGATCCTGCTTTCAATTTCTTTGGGCTATATACCCAAAAGTGAGGTTGCTGGATTATATGGCAGTTATAGTTATAATTTTATATTTACATAAAATGTGTAATTTTTTATGGAACTGCCATACTGTTTTATATAGTGGTTGCACCATTTTATACTTCTACCAAGTGTACATAAAAGTTCTAGTATCTCTGTATCCTTGCCAGCACTTGTTATTTTCTGGTATTGTTGTTGTTGCTGTTTTTATGGCCATTCTATTAGGTACAGGGTGATATCTCACTGTGATTTTGATTCGGTTTGTTTTTTTTCCTGCTGATTAGTGATATTGGGCATCTTCATATGCTTGTTGGACATTTGTGTATCATCTTTGGGAAAATATCTAAGTTCTTTTCCCATTTTTATATGCTGCTTCTTTTTCCGATGCTATTCCATTTTTAGCTGTTACTTTTTCCTTTTGTTGTTTCTCCCTCTGATCTCTCTCTTTCAGCTTTCAGTTATTCTGCTTTTCCTGCTAATTCTGCATGTACTTCTTTTCTCCTATGCTGCTTTCTGTTGTTTTTCATTTTGTTTTCTCTGCCTTATTTTTGAGTATCTGTTCATTTTGCTTCTGTTTCTCTTTTTCAGCTTCTGATGATTCTGTTAGTTTTTCTGCTGGTTCCACATAGCTTCTCCTTTATCCTATGTTTCTCCTTTTTGCAGCTATTTTTCCTTCTGCGACTCTGCCATATTTCATCTTCCACCTTTTCAGTGTGCTGATTTTACCTCTGCTTCTCCTTTTCCTATGCTTCTCCTTTCTGTAGCTATTTTTACTTCTGCTGATTCTGCTTTGCTTTTGCTTCCTCCGTCTTCAGCTTCTGCTAATTTTGCCTCTGCTTCTCCCTTTTCCTGTGTGTCTCCTTTCTGTAGCTATTTTGCTTTCTGCTGACTTTGCCCTATTCTGCTTCCCTCTTCTTTCAGTGTCTGCTGATGTGGCCTCTGCTTCTCCTTTTTCCTATGCTTCTTTTTTCTGCTGCTGTTTTCACTTTTGCTAATTCTGACCCCACTTCTGCTTTCCCCATCTTTCAGCATCTGCTGATTTTGCCACTGCTTCTCCTTTTTCCCATGCTTCTCCTTTCTGCAGCTATTTTACCTTCTGCTGACTTTGCCCTGTTCTGCTTCCCTCTTCTTTCAGCATCTGCTAATAGGGCCTCTACTTCTCCTTTCTCCTGTGTTTCTTATTTCTGCAGCTATTTTTTCTTCTGCTAACTCTTGCTTCCCCCTTTCGCATCTGCTGATTTGATCTCTGCTTCTCCTTTTTCCTGTGCTTCTCATTTCACCTTTGGTTTTCACTTTTGCTAACTCTGCCCTGCTTCCCCCTTCTTTCAGCATCTGTTGATGTGGCCTCTGCTTCTCCTTTTTCCCGATTCTCCTTTCTGCAGCTTCTTTTTCTTCTGACTTTTGCTTCCCCCTTTTAGCACCTGCTGATTTGGCCTCTGCTTCTCCTTTTTCCAATGCTTCTCTTCTCTGCTGCTGTTTTCACTTTTGCTAACTCTGGCTCCACATCTGCTTCTTCCATCTTTCAGCATCCACTGATTTTGCTACTTTTTCTGATGACTTTGCCTCTGCTTCTCCTTCTTCCCATGCTTCTCTTTTCTGAAGGTGTTCTTCCTTTTGCTGACTCTACTTCCACTTCTGATTCCTCCTTTTTCATCATCGTCGGATCCAGGTGCTTTATTTGCTGATCCTGCTTCTTCTGCTTTTCCTTTTGTTGATTTTGCTTCTCTTTCTGGTGATGATGATTTCCTTTCTGCTGCCGATGTTGATCGTGCTGCTTTTGCTTCTCCTTGGTCTTCTACATTTTAATGTGCTATACTGTTTCTGACCTCCTCGTAGCTTCACTTTTACACGGCCCTTGATGGCTATTCCATTTCTGACTGCACCCTATGTTTCCACTCACAAATGCTCCACTGTCTGTTTTTCAATTTCTTATTACTGTATACACACTCCATAAAAAAAGGAATATGATACTGAAGTAATGGTACTATGTCATAGGCATCTGGCTAACTGATGGACTAGCTGTTACACAGCCCTTAGGTGCTCCCTTCTAGAGCAATTATCATGGCACTGGCTGGGAAGCAGAAAAAAATAGAGACTCCCATAGTACATAATGCAGCCTAGGACCACAGAGACTAGGTAATCTGTAGTCCTTAGAAGGGAATGTACCTGAGTGAGCAGTTCTTCCAGCAGTGTCCTCTCTGCTGGAAGTAGATTAAGGAGTGAGTGAGCAGTGAGGTAATAATATAACAGAAGTTACTTAATTTTGAAAACTAGATAAAAAGACAAGAATGTGCAGAGTACAGCTAATCAGCAGTGTGGAAATTTTTTTATCCAGAGAAAAGGGAAAGACCATACACAAGTAAAAGAATGGAATCATGTCATTTATGGCCACTTGGAGAACTCAAGTTAAGTGAAACAAGCCAGCCACAGAAAGTTAAATATTACATATGTGAGAGCTAAAAAAGTTGATCTCATGTGTGATGCCAAAGAAAGTTGATCTTCTATAAAGGTAGAGAGTATAGAATAGAGGTTACTAGAGGTTAGGAAGAGGAGGAGGATGGGGCAATAAAGAGAGATTGGTTAAAGCAAACAAAATGAGGAATAAGTTCTCATTTTTTTATGTGGGGAATAAGTTCTGGTCTCCTAAAGCATTGTAGGGTGACTATAGTTAACAATAATTGTTATTTCCAAACAGCTAGAAAAGAGGATTTTGAATGTTTCAGTATAAAGAAATGATAAATATTGGAGATGATGGATATGCTATTTACCCTGATTTGTTCATTGCACATATGTATGGAGATATCACTCTATACTCCATAAATATATATAGTTATGTATCAAATAAAATTTATAAAATTTTTTTAAAAGAGAACAGAGGGAGCAAGGTTTTCTGGTAAATGGAGTTGAAATTAAGAGCACAGAATTGAAGGGTTGATCACAATTGAAGATGTGATATCGGATCCTTTGCCACTAGAAGAAGGAAGGAATTGGCGTTTCCCCTTCCATGATGCTATGCAGGTGTTTTACTATTACTTTTCCCTTTCTGTTACAGGTCCTGAATCTGTGCCTCCTTCCCTTCTTAAAGTAGTGATGAAACCCATAGCAACTGTTGGAGAAAGCTACCAATATCCTCCTGTGAACTGGGCTGCACTTCTCTCTCCACTTATGAGGCTGAATTTCGGTAAATATCATGTGTTGTTAGGTCTTCAGACTTTGATTTTAGGGTTTGACTTGAATGGAAAAACAGATTCTGTGTCACAATGTGTAGTGACTGGATAGACTTTTCAGATCTGAAGGTTTGTCAAGTTGGATGGGATGGCTATGTTACTTTCACTGGGTCGTTGAGCTTCTTAAGGTGAGGAAGAAGAGGTCTAAAGACACAGACCAGATACACCTGCCAAAAACAATGCTTGACTGAGGTGGCATACTGCTAAGAATATGGTACAGGTTCCATTAAGCTTGGCTTTGTGGTTATCAAACTGCACTTCCAGAGCCCTAGATTTCGAGAAGTACCATATGGAATGCTGTATAATTTTCTATTTCTGCTATAACAAATTACCACAGTGGCTTGAAACAACACAAATGTATTATCTTTACAAGTCTATAGGCCAGAAGTCCAACACGTTTCTCACCAGACTAAAATCATGATATCAGCAGAGCAGAATTTCTTTCTATAGGTCCTAGGGGAGAATTCATTTCCTTTTCTAGCCTCTAGAAGCTGCCCATGTTCTTTGACTTGTGGCCCCCTTTCTTCATCTTCAAAGCAAGCAATGGAGGGTGAAGGTTGCCTCACACTATTATCTTTCTGGTTCTCTGTAGCCAGGAAAGGTTTTTCACCTTTAAGGACTCGTGATTAATGGGCTCACTTAAATAATCCAGGATAACCTCTCCATCTCAAGATCCTTAACCTTAATCGTATCTGCAAAGTTTCTTTTCCATATTAGGTAGTATATTCGCAGGTTCCAGGGGTCAGGATGTGGACATTATTGGGGACCATTATTCTGCTTACCACAGTTATTTTGTGGTGAGAGGCAAAGGGAATGCACACCTCAATGTCTCCAGTTTATCCATAGTAACCTCTTTTATACAGAATAGAGTTACACAAATATAATTTAATGTACTTGTTCCCAACCCTAACTCTCAAAGTAAAAATAAGAAGTGGGGAAAAGAGCAATGTAAACAGTGTTGTAAAATAGTGTGTGTTTGTGTGTGTGCCTGCCATGAGTGGTCTATTACTTAGTAAAGTGCACACTTACATATTATGTACAAAACAACTTTTATACTGTAATTTATGTGCAGTTTTAAAGATAAAGGTAAGTTTGACTATACACAATTCTTCACTTAAATGCTTTCATATAAACCTAATCTCTGTATAAGATACGATGTCATCATACTACGTTTCCAGAGATTTCACTGAAAATGTGTTCCGCTGTCCCTCCCCTACTTTTGTGTGCTATATTAAAATGTTTGTGTTTCAGTTAAGTCCTTAGAAAAAGGAAAGAAAATAAGGTGCGGATTGAAATCAGACTATTAGAAAGACTTGATCACTAGAGAATGTGGATATATCTTTAAGCCATTCTACACCTTGATATATTTCTTTATGCTCTGCATATGAGATGGAGAGATGGGAAAAACAGAGATCAAGAGATTATTAGCTAGAATTGTCTCACATTTTAGTTAGTGTGTGAGTGTGTAGGTTCCTCTGGATATCATAAAAGATATTCCCCTACCTAGTTCAAGGCCTTTGCTAGTTATAAGATTTGGGACTGTGATGCCATTGGATGCGTAATTTGGCCTCATAACTAACAAGTCTCTTGTAATATCTATTCTGGTTTACTGAAGTTCTGTTACCTGCAGAAGTCACATAGCAGATGCTTTGATTTGAGATATCAAAGCCTGAAAACAACTCAGAGGAGTAACTGTATATTCACATTCTTCTCGTTTCTTGCCTTTCAGGTGAAGAGATCCAGCAGTTGTGCCTTGAAATTATGGTGACCCAGGCACAGTCATCCCAGAATGCAGCTGCACTTTTGGGCTTGTGGGTGACACCACCACTGATCCACAGTCTGAGTGTATGTAGTAACTAAGGCAGTTGGCCTACAGGAGGATATCGTTGTTTTGGAGGAGATTAATGTTCATTTGCGTTTGTGTTCTCAAAGTCTAGAGGAGGCTGATGAGATCTTACAAAAATTAAGGGCTTGATAGTAGCTGGCCTGCACACTGGAAAATTATATAGTTTACAACCTGCCATAGCCATTACCATTCATGCGTTAGCTACCATTTATTACAAAAAGTGGAAAAAGATGATTGTGGTATTAAAGTTCCTTTCTCAACATCATATAGCTAGAAAGTTGTGGAATTATTTCAAGTTATGTTTATTTGATTATATGGTATATGTAATTATTTCAGTACATATTAAGAGAAAGGAAATCCATATGTACTGGACTCATCCATATATTATCCTTCCCCTTTCCCAGAGAAGACAGCAATTAAGGTGAGCCTTGATTTGTTTTAAGTATCACATCAGGGGGACCAGGGGCTGTAGGTGGAGAGATTGAAAGATCTCTGCTAGGCTGTTTAGCTTGAGCAAAGCGTTGAGAAAGAAATGACCCGGTCTGGTGTTTGTGATAGAGGGGACTAGCACCTTTCATGTCTAGGCCAAGGGCAGATAGGAAGAATAGGGCAAGAGAGTTTAATGATGTAAAGTTAGTAAAGATGCATAATTTTGAGTGTGTTCAAGCTAGAACAGAAAAACGTATTCCATGATTCTTTAGAGGTTTACCAGTTGATAGAAGTTAAATGCTGTCACCTTTTAAGTGTCTCCATAATGTGGCCTATTCTGTCCTAGGAGGCTTTGTTTGAGAATAGTGCAAAGCCCTCTTATCATTTCCACAGTCTCTTGGCCTTTGTCCCTATTCTGCACTGTTTTTGTTTTTGTTGTTTTTGAGACAAAATCTTTCTCCGTAGCCCAGGCTGGAATGCAGTGGTATGATCTCAGCTCACTGCAACCTCCGCCTCCTGGGTTCAAGTGATTTTTGTGCCTGTTTCCCAAGTAGCTGGGACTACAGGTGTGTGCCACCATGCCTGTCTAATTTTTGTATTTTTAGTAGAGACAGGGTTTCACCAAGTTGGCAAGGCTGGTCTCGAACTCCTGACCTCAAGTGATTTGCCTGCCTTGGCCTCCCAAAATGCTGAGATTACAGGCATGTACCATCACTCCTGGCCTGTATTTTGTCTTTTTAAACCTTTCCTACTCCTCCTCATTGTCTTTAATTGAAGGTGGATGTTATCAAGGTCTGCATCCTTTCTGTCAGGTATTAACTTCACTCCAACTGTCTGCTCCAAGTGGCTCCCAGCTGCCTGCCACTTACTGAGCCCTGGCTGTGCTCCTGGTAACTGCAAGCGCTCAGTGAGTACTTACAGAAGGCAGACTTAATTTCCCTACAGCCTGTCAGGACAATTTTTAAAATAGCTTTGTTGAGTTATAATTTATGTACCCTAAAATAT